ACAGGGTCCCAGGTGCCATAAGGATACGGCAGCTCCCGAGGAGTAGTGATGGGGGACAAAAAGGTATGAGGAATCTGGAGCTCTGATACCCATGAGGCTCATGTACACACAACCTGCCTGTACTCCAGGAAGTTCTTTGGATACCTACAGGCTGGTTCCTTCCTTTTCCCTTACCTATCACATACCTCCCACACACAGCCCACACTTTTGTGGCTGTCCAGATATAATATCTTGTCTCCTTCCTGTCTGCCTGGCAAACACATTTTAGCATGATTATTCCTGTGTACAAATGATGGAGAAACCCAGCCTTGGCCATGCCCTGTGCCTCACTGCTGTAAGGAACACACAGTTCTGCCCTGGGTAGCCCAAGATCTTCCCATGTAGGGGTTCCACTAGCACAGGTAGACCAAAGGCATTTGCTTGTCCTCTTCTGCCACTCCATTAAGAATGTCCTTATCTCACCCTTTACTAAGCCACTCTCCATGCTCCTAACAAAGAAGAGAGAAAAATCACCCTGGCCTTCTTTCTGGTCATTGCCAACATTATCTCAAAACAGAAGAAATGCATCCCACCTCCTTTGCTATTTAATAGAGCCATTCTGCAAGTCTGCTGAAAGTTCAGCTGGCACCTGATGGTCCTGCCTCTCGAGTTTCTGACCAGGAGCCACATGTCTTGGCTGGAGGTCCCCAAGCCCAGCAGTGCTGCTGGTAGGATGACAGTCCTCACTCCCTTCAGTATCTCACCACCCTCAGACCACCTGAATGTCAGCCCTTCCTTCCTAGCCCACGTCACCCTCACCATGCCCAATCAAGTTATATGGACTTAATGACATAGACAGATGTACAGATCTTGTCTTGAAAAGTTGAAGGCATCCTTTTCATTTCATTTCCAGGATTAAACGCCCACAGCAGTCCTAGGCCAGACAAAGAAAGAGCTACTTGTCCTTGTCCCATAAGATGTGAGATGTGATCAGTGACTTTATTTCAAGTGCCACTGACATCCTAATGTCACCAGGAGAAACTACAACCAGCCCACTTGCATCACCCTTCTTGTTAAGCTTGGGTATATTTTTAACATCTGCACTATCTCTAGCTACATGAAATATTCAGTATTCACAGCAGATAAAATGTCTTTGGCAACTCTGGGTTCCCTCTTAAAACTCCTCACCTAATTGCTGGTCCTCTCAGGAGCCCAATATCCTCATTCAGCCCTCTGACTGTCCACAGTTTTGGCAATATCCCCTCAACCCCACCACCTCCACCCAGTCTTTTTTTGTTATTATTATTTCTAGAGATACGGTCTCACTATGTTGCCCAGGGTGGTCTCAAACCCCTGGGCTCAAGCAGTCCTCCCACCTCAGCCTTCCGTGTATCTGGGACTACAGGAACCACTCAGTCTTGACAAGGCCTCAGAATGGATCTCTTCTCTCCTCTTGCTCTTCAAAATGTGGACAGCTGTGTAGAAATACAACTGGACAAAAAGGGTGTGATCTAATGCTAACAGGCTGAGTAGGGGAACCCAGCAAGGCCTTTCTGTCTAGATTCTGATGGCCTCTCTGAGCTTGCATTCCTTCCTTTGGGGTGTGAGGCTGGACCCTTCTGGAATGGGGGTTTTACAGTAAAACAAAGTAGGTCAGATAATTACTTTATGACCAGTTTATTAGAATAATTTTAGGTTTTATGGCAGGCCTTCTGGAAAAAGGGTTCTGCCTTTTATTAATAAGCCTGCCTTGGCCAGGCTCGGTGGCTCACGCCTGTAATTCTAGCACTCTAGGAGGCCAAGGCGGGCGGATCCCTCAAGTCCAGGAGTTCAAACCAGCCTGAGTAAGAGTGAGACCCTGTCTCTACTAAAAATAGAAAGAAATTAATTAGCCAACTAAAAATATACACAAAAAATTAGCCAGGCATGGTGGCGCATGCCTGTAGTCCCAGCTACTTAGGAGGCTGAGGCAGGAGGATTGCTTGAGCCCAGGAGTTTGAGGTTGCTGTGAGCTAGGATGACAACACGGCACTCTAGCCTGGGCAACACAGTGAGACTCTGTTTCAAAAAAAATAAATAAATAAATTTGGCTGCTGGATTTGTTTCTCTCAGCCTCTTTAGTAAACGGTGTTGTAGGGAGTGAAGTTGATGAGAACCACAGAGATGTTTTAATCCAATTGTGCTCATCTTACAGATAAAGAAACTGAGTACCAGAGAAAGGAAGTCCTAAGATCAGCACAGATCCAAAGGTTTCAAAGAAAGTTCCAGAATGGACCTTCACTGTCATAAGCAGAGCCCTTTGGGTCAAGAGTGTGAGTGACAGGCCTCAGGTCTACTGAGCCACACCAGAGCCCTTCCTTAGTGGCTCCTCAGCACTTGTGCTCCCAAAGCCTGACCCACAGCAAGTTCCACAAATTATTATCACTACCATCATTGTTTTTTTGCTATGACAACCACAGTAATAAGAGGGGACGAGAGTGAAATACAGGGTTCCCAACAACAATAATAATTATTTACCTCATACCTCAGAGATACTAACTCATGGCCTGCCACCACTCCCCCGAGAGTTATTAGTATTGTCCACAATTTATAAAAGGGAGAAGGAAGGGCGAGAAAAGGGAGTGGCTCTATTCCTGAGTTAGCTGAAGGACAGATTGTCAGAGGTAGGCGGAGAACACAGAAGAGTTTGATGCTCAGCCCAAGATTGAGTCTGTAGACCAGCGTTTTCAACAGAACCTAGATCTGTGACCTACAAAATACTTCAGCTCAGGACTTTCCAAACTCTCTTGATCATTACCCACAGTAAAAAATATATTACATTTATACCTGTGCCTATATATAACTGAAATGAAGGTTTTCACAAAGCAATCCTTTAACCCTTGTATTCTGATATTTTTATTTCATTCTAGTCTATTCTACTTTGTTTTTTAAATTATTAGTTGTGATCCCCTAAATGCATTTCAGTACACACTAATGACTTGTGTCCCACAGTTTGAAAGTATGTGTCTTCAGAGGGAAGGTGAAAGAGCAGTCCTAATGGGGAAGGGATGGATGAAATTCCTCCAGAAAATAGTAGGAGAAATGTAGTTATGTATGAGAGTAGAAGAAAATGAGAATAAGTCAAATTGGTGAGACAGCATCATCTATGTAGAATTTTTACCCACAATGTTGAACCTGAATCTAATAGTGCACGCACAATCAGGCAAACCCTGACTGTGGAACATTATAAGGCAAAAAGTCTAGAAGTCTTTAAAACTCTCCTTGTCCAAAAGATAAGAAAAGGTGAAAGACAGTTGTAATTGGCTCCATGAATAAATACACCTCCCCCCAATAAGTTTTCCCTGGAACTTTCTTATGTTTTGGATTCCCAGGCTGGTAGGGCTCAATGACCAGAACATTATAATCTTTCTGTTTAACTAACCCTATTACTTTTTGAGTTGTCTCTCAGAAACAGCAGACTCTTCGCAGGGTTAAAATGCCATGACTCACCATCCATCACCAACCTGTGGTTTCTGAGTTAGACCTCCTACACACGTTGCTTTCAACACAACCTGCCCCAACACACGTAGCCACCTTCCTCAACCCCATACAGAAACCCCTACCTTCAGTTGGTTGAGGAGACAGATTTGAGACATTTCTCCATCTCCCAGATGATGTCATTTGTAATACATTCCTTTTCTTCATTGGCAATCCCCACTGTCTCAGTAATTGGCTTTCTATGCAGTGAGCAATCAGGCCTATGCCAGTATGCCCTTTTGGGTTCAGTGACAAATTTTGATGGCCCATACAGGGACTTGTTGCTCATGGCTTGGTGGCCATGGAGTGGGAAGAGTCTTACAACCTCCCTAGCAGCTGCCCAGAGGTTGGTTTTGGTTTCTCCCATTGGCCTGGCTGTCACCCACTTCAAGCACATCCCTGATTGCCTCCAAAGAATGGATTCCTGGATCTTGGCACCTGTATCTGGACTGCCGAGTGCTGTTTAAGGATATCATGCAGTAAACAGCACCCATCTTGATTTGGCAAATTCTGAGGAGATTCCCGTTTGATGTGGGGTTGGAAAAGCCCCAACCGTTTGAGAGAGTGGAAACTGCTCTATTTCTATTTGGCACTCCCCAGACTTATTTGTTAGGAAGGCAGTCCATTTGTTTGTCTTTTGGTAGATGTTGAATGGTTGTGTGAGTTGATGTGTGTGTGGCCATGCGAAATCAGAATTCAATCCCTGAATGCAGCACTTTGGGTTGCATTCTTCAAAACTTGTCTGAATGTAGTTATAAGCCTATGAAAAAGAAGAAAACAGTATTTTTCTGTAATATTGTTTGGCCCCAGTACTCTCTCAAGTCTAAGGAAATGCTGCCCCTTCATGGATCACTAAACTATGATACTATTCTCTAATTAGATTTATTCTCGCATCATGTTAGCAATGGGACGAAATTCCTTGCATACAGTCTTTTATGCTTCTTTATCAAAATAAGCCATACCGGAGAGTGATAGGATTACAGGCATGAGTCACCACAACCGGACAGTTGTGGGATGTTCTTACGATGGGGAAAAGCCCCCACACCTGGGAGCCCTGAGGCAAAATCCACAATCCACTGATTGGATACCTGTGAAGTTTATGGCTGATCCTAATGATAGGGAAAAGCCCCGGCCTGGGGCCCCTGAGGCAAAATCCACTGCAGATTGGATACATGAGAAGCTTATTGGCTGATCCTACTAATCCCACCATTAATCGGATAATCTTGCATGCTCATAGGTGATTGGTTACGTGTGATCCAAGAACCGTATATAAGACTGGAGAGAAGGCAGCCTCCTCTGGAAGCTGAGCAGTTGGGACGACCGGGAACCTGCTAAGATGAACCCTTTAAGGTGAAGCTGATCAGCGAGCTGAATGAGCGAGAGGTCCAGCTTGGGGTGCCGGAGAAGGTGTCCTGGCACTCCGAGTACAAGGACAGCGCCTGGATCTTCCTGGGAGGGCTTCCTTATGAATTGACGGAAGGCGACATCATCTGTGTTTTGTCACGATGGCAACCTGGGGCTCGGCGCGGAAGCGGCTGCTCAAAGAGGAAGACATGACCACAGTGGAATTCGAGACCAGCGAGGAGGTGGATGTGACCCCCACGTTCGACTCTATGGGCCTGCGGGAGGACCTGCTGCGCGGCATCTACGCCTACGGTTTTGAAAACCCTTCAGCGATCCAACAGCGAGCTACCAAGCAGATAATTAAAGGGAGAGACGTCATCGCACAGTCTCAGTCTGGCACAGGTAAAACAGCCACCTTCAGTATTTCAGTCCTTCAGTGCTTGGATATTCAGGTTCGTGAAACCCAGGCTCTGATCTTGGCCCCCACGCGAGAGCTGGCTGTGCAGATCCAGAAGGGCCTGCTTGCTCTCGGCGACTACATGAACGTCCAGTGCCACGCCTGCATCGGGGGCACCAATGTGGGCGAGGACATCAGGAAGCTGGATTACGGACAGCACGTCGTCGCAGGCACACCAGGGCGCATCTTTGATATGATTCATCGAAGAAGTTTAAGGACACGAGCTATCAAGATGTTGGTTTTGGATGAGGCTGATGAAATGTTGAATAAAGGCTTCAAAGAACAGATTTATGACGTGTACAGGTACCTGCCTCCGGCCACACAGGTGGTCCTTATCAGTGCCACGCTGCCCCATGAAATCCTGGAAATGACCAACAAGTTCATGACAGACCCAATCCGCATCCTGCTAAAACGTGATGAGTTGACTCTGGAAGGCATCAAACAGTTTTTTGTGGCAGTGGAAAGAGAAGAGTGGAAGTTTGACACCCTGTGTGATCTCTACGACACACTGACCATCACACAAGCGGTCATCTTCTGTAACACCAAGAGGAAGGTTGACTGGCTGACAGAGAAGATGAGAGAAGCCAATTTCACCGTGTCCTCGATGCACGGAGACATGCCGCAGAAGGAGCGCGAGTCCATCATGAAGGAGTTCCGGGCCGGCGCCAGCCGAGTGCTCATCTCCACAGACGTCTGGGCCAGGGGCTTGGATGTCCCGCAGGTGTCCCTCATCATTAACTACGACCTGCCCAATAACAGAGAGTTGTACATACACAGAATTGGGAGATCAGGTCGATATGGTCGAAAGGGTGTGGCCATTAATTTTGTAAAGAACGACGACATCCGCATCCTCCGAGATATTGAACAGTACTACTCCACTCAGATTGATGAAATGCCTGTGAACGTTGCCGATCTGATCTGAAGAAACAGTCCCACTGCGCTGTAGATGGGTTGGAGGTGGTTCACATATTTTGTAGTCCTGTTTGGAAACACTTAGGGTCAGCTTCCATTAAAGGGGTTTATGTGAAATCTCTTCTCATAGTGCCCCCAGGAAAAGCTCGAGGCTGCTGCTGCTGACTTTTCTTATCCACATGTAAATAATGCATTGCTGCAAGTCTTTTTCATTAAACATGTAAAACTTAAAAAAAAAAAAAAAAAAAAGATTAAAGGGCGAACTATCCGAGTGGATCATGTATCTAACTATCGGCCTCCCAAGGACTCGGAGCTCTCTAGGTACATCATCCAGTTCTTCTAAGAGAAGGGCTGTCATGCCACGCCAGAGCAAGATGGCCGACTCGGCGGCCGGGGCTAGCGGCTCCAGAACGAGATCAGGAAGTAACAGTCTACTAACCCTGCTGATAACTACCATCTGGCCCAGAGAACACTGCAAGTGGTTGTGAGCTCCTTGCTCACAGAGGCAGGGTTTGAGAGCGCCGAAAAAGCATCCGTGGAAACATTGACAGAGATGCTGCAGAGCTACATTTCAGAAATTGGGAGGAGTGCCAAGTCTCACTGTGAGCACACAGCCAGGACTC